CACTTCTGCATTCTTATTTCACTTTTGTACCACCTCAGTCTTTCTCAAAGTCTAGAATGGGCCCTTCTATTAATGAAAAGCACCTAACAGTTTCTAGGGGAACAAATTGTTTGGGAAAGATATAATTAGTAAAAGAAAGAATTATCTCATTTGTTTGTTTTTTAGTTAACTCTGCCCCAGGTAGAATGTAATGTCCATGAGAGCAGAACCCTTTTCTGTCTTTTTACAGCTGCATCCCAGCACCTAGAACAAAGGCACATACAAAGTAGGTATTTAATATCTGATGAACTAATAAATACCAACAATAATAGTGTTCATGGGCCAGTAATCACACTGCTTTAAATATATTAACTTATTTGAGTCTCATTATAACCTATGAGGTATGCACTGCTAGCCTCACTGTGAGGTATGTTTTATTATCCCCATTACTATGGATGAGGATATTGAATCACAGAGAGGTTAAATAACATGCCCAAGATCACCCTGATGATGACAAAACTGTAATCTGAATCGTACCACATATGGAGCTTATTCCCTCACTTAAGCTGTGCTAAAATATTAATAAATTATCTAAGGATTTTTAATATCAGAAGCACCTGAGCTACTCTGCACCCTGCCCCTCATCCCCATGTTGTTATATCAGAAGCACAACATATACACAAAACATCTATAATGAATTACAATTCCATGATACATGACAGTAGCAGAGAGTGCAATATAACACAGAGGTGCATGAGCAATTCAGTCCACGTGCAACTGAATATATGTGCACATGAGGGCCACACATTTCACACAGCTAAGCTAAAATAACACAAGGCTCTAAAGACTTTACCCCCTGAAAAAAGTAACAGGCCAGGCAGAAGGAAGTCTTGTGTAAAACCGTGAGGATGTATAGAAGGAATGTTGGGTATAGGTATAGAAGGAAGGTATAGGTATATACCTTCTATAGGGTATACAGAATGTTGGGTATAGGTATAGAAGGTATAGGTATATATAGGTATAGAAGGAATGTTGGGCTGAGCTATGGAAATCTGGGGAGCGATGAGAGAGCAGAATGGCAAAGCAAACCTGAACGAGACTGTCTATGCTTCTGAATGTCACACTAGGTATCGGACTCTGCCTCAGGCAGCAGAACCCAACTCCACTGCAAGGCAAGGGGTTCAGCCCATAACAACTCCACGAAATGGGTGAACAACAGCTGGGTCTGAAATGAGTGTCCCAAATTTCCCTCAGCACAGCTAAGGGAGCATCCCAAGAGCAGATGAACACTGGGTCCCACTGGAGAGAGATTCAATTGGATAGAGAATGATACTCCTTCCATCTGATGCTTTGTCAGAGGGAGGTAAAATGAAGCTCCAAGGGAAAGGAGATTCTTGATTTTTCTTTTACTATTCTGGTAGATACATGGAGAAATTTTCCTGTAACTCCAACGTTTCCCAGAGCCGGAACACTACACTTTCCTCTCTCTTTACCTACTGTCTCCATGAATCCACTTCCTTTACCTGATCCTTAGCAGGAAATATTACCCAAAGCTTAGTATTTAGTCTCACATTTACTCTATATTCTCTAATGCAAATTTAGCCACCAGATCTTTACTTCCAACATCAACCTAACTCAATCTCTATAGCTGCATTATCCACATGCTCCTACTGAGTATTTGAAATGTGGCCAGTCTGAATTGAAATGTGTTAAGTGTAAAAAAAAAAAAAAAAAAAAAAAAAAAAAACTTCAGATTTGAAAGACTTAGTACAAAAAAAGATAAATTATCTTATTAATGATTTTACACTGAGTATGACATTATTAAACTCATACTGAAATGACAGTGTTATGGATATGTTAGGTTAAATAAAATATGTTATTGAAATTTATCCACCTGTTTCTTTTCACTTTTTCAACGTGTCCTCTAGAAAATTTTGAATTACGTAAGTGTCTCATTTTTCTATTTCTATAAACTATCTCCATTAATTCAGTCCCTCAAATGCAGCATGCTTAAAACGGGATCCATCAGTAACAAGCTCTATGACATCTCTGTGCCTCAGTTCCTTCATCTATAAACTAGAGATACTAATCGTGATAAAAAGGATGAAAACAGTAAGAGTTAACATCTTTAACCTTTGTAAGATCCATGTGAGGCTGCCATTCCTGTTTTATAAATGAGCAGAGAGAGGCATAGAGAAATTAACTGACCAGCCAAAGGGTACATGTTTAATAAATGGTAGAGCCCGGATTCGAGCCCAGGTAGTCCAGCTCCAGGGTCCTTACTTTTAACCACTGTCTCCCATGATATCTACCCTAGAAATATCGCAAAAAATCCAATGAGTTAATTTAGGTACAACATTTCAAACTGTACATGGCACACAGTAAACTCACCTTCAGTGTTTTGTTTTGTTTTTTTGAGACAGAGTCTCACTCTGTTGCCTGGGCTAGAGTGCCATGGTGTCAGCCTACCTCACAGCAACCTCAAACTCCTGGGCTCAACCGATCCTCCTGCCTCAGCCTCCCGAGTAGCTGAGACTACAGGTACCCGCCACCATGCCCAGCTAATTTTTTCTATATATTTTTAGTTGGCCAATTAATTTCTTTCTATTTTTTTAGTAGAAACTATGTCTCGCTCTTGCTCAGGCTGGTTTCGAACTCCTTACCTTGAGGGATCCACCTGCCTCAGCCTCCCAGAGTGCTAGGATTACAGGCCTGAGCCACCACACCTGGCCTCCTTCAGTGTTTATTATCTCCTTTATCCCTGCCACAGACCTACTTCCCAATTTCTGTACAGGTAATAACCTTCCTCCCCACTTCCAAGGATCAAAACTTCAGGATCATCTTTTAACACTTCTCCCTTTTGCATCCCCTAAATCTAGTCAGGCCCTCCACACCTCCCCTTAAATATTTTCAATGCAGCCACTCCTCTGTTCCCACTGCCACCTTACCCAGCCCTTCACTCCCTCACAGTGGATGAATGACAATAACAAGAATATAAACAGTGCTCATGTGCCAGGCAGGTTACTAATCTATTAATTTATTTAAACCTCACTATAACCCTGTCTGGGCTCTAAGGCTTCTGTATCGAGGTTCTAACAGCGTCTACACTTCTTCAGCAAACAGTTCTTGGATTACCAATCCCATCCCAGGATGAGAACTTTAAGAGTGTGAGTTCTTCACATTTGCATCCCCAGCAGCTGATTTAAGCATATAAGAAGAGGTAGTGGGTGTTCTAAAGAGAAGAAAAAAGACTTGCAAGGCTCAGAAAATTAAAAATTCTAACCCCCTCAAAAATCTCCCACAAAATCATGTCTTAACTCTACTGCCAAACGAGGCAACAGCATAACCTAGCTCCACCTTACCCATTCAATCTTATCTCCACTCCCCAACAAGAACACCCCAGAGTAGTCAAACAAGTTTCTTTCATTGTTCCTGGAGTAAAAAATAATAATTCTTATTATTCACCTCTTATTCACACAGTTCCCATCTGCCTCAGAAATAATCTGAGCTCCTCCACTAAACCTCCCTCAGACTCCCACACCAAACTAACTTCTCATCTAAATTACAATAAAACTCCTAATATCACTTACTGTGGTCTGCAAAGGCATATTCATCACCTGGCAAATGCCACTTACAACCCCAGCACAGAGCATGAACAACCAGAAGGCAAGCACTCAGTCCCACATTTTTTGTCTCCATGTCTAGCACAGGTTTCCACATAGAATACACACTAATTTGGCAAACAGAGTAAATAAATGGACAGGGTAACTGAAATTATCTATAAATACCTGACTTAGCCAATCATATTTACCTAACCATGACATACCTTAAGGTGACAGAAGCAACACAGTCTCAGTTTCAAGGTAGTGGTTTCACTGCACTTTCAGATTACCTTCTTTCCTCATCAAAACTACCCTGTGAAATTCACACTGCTATACCCCTAAGTCAGCTGAGGTTCCAATAAGCCAAGTCACAAGATCACACGACTAATAAATGGCAACGCTGAGAATGGAGACCGGGCCAGGAGTCCAGCGTTCTCCCCATTGTTCTAACCCACCTTTTATCTCCTTTCCCTCCTCACCTTCTGTGGTGAGCCTGTGGAGGAGCCAAATAACTGAAAGGAAAGGAATCGCAGGACAATCCTTGATGATAACAGATACAGTAAATTAATGATTTCAAAAGACCATTTGCCCGAAATAGCTTCTTGTTTTTTCCTTTTCTTTGACTCATCAAGGGCAAGTAATGATTTGGAAAGAAAGCACTGAAACCTCATGATGCTATTGGACTGTAAAAAAAACATGTCCATCTAACCCTAAAACCAGGGCCTTTCCAGACTGCAAAGCTGGACCCCGCTCTCCACTTCCAATCCGAGGACACGGCTGTTCCGTGTCACAGCATGACCAGGGAAGGAAGCAGCCTCCTGAGGACACGGCGCCCGGCAAGGCCAACTGGCAGCTGTCGCCGAACGTTCCAGACCACCATTCTTCCCAGCCTGTCTGTCAGCAGGCCTGCAGTCCCCGACGCTCCCGCTCGCGGCGGCGCTCCGACTCCGCGCGGAGACACAAAGACCCTCAGTCCGGGCGGCCTCGGCCCGTGAATGGGCGCGCTGTCGGGCGCTGCCTGCACCCTGGAGCCCCGACGCGGAGAGACGCGGGGACGGAACCGAACCCGGGCCAGCGCCGGCGCCGCCACGCAAGACCCGGACGCGCGGGAGGCGCCGCCCCCGCCGCAGACGCTCGGGCCGCTCCGAGGATGCCCGCAGCCCCGCGCCCGGCGCCGCTTCGCCGCCGCCACCCCGCGGCGAGGGTGCCCCTCCGGTCCGACCGGGCCGCGGCCCGGGCCAGGGCGCTCTCCCCGGGGACGCGGGGTCGGGCCGCACCCCGCAGCCGCCCGGAACCGGCCCCCGCGCCCCGGAACATGCAGAAGACGCGGCAGGACGGAGGCGGCGGCTCCGCGACGAGCGGCGGCCGGACGCCCCGACACCGCCGCGGCCGCTCACCCTCGCCCCGCGCCGCGCTCACCCAGCTCTGCGCGTCGTTGCTCAGCTTGACCTTCTTGCACAGGCTCCCGGGCAGCTCCATGGCCGCGAGGGTAGCGCAGCGGGGCAGGCCGGCGGGGTCTCCTCGCAGCAGGGCGGGCGCGCGCTGACGTGCGCTCGTGCTCGTGCTCGTGCTCGTGGCTCCGGACTGAGTCCGGGGCAGAGCATGCTGGGAAGTTGCGAAGCTTCCGCGCTCGGCCCGACGGGAGCGCGCGCGACGCTCCGCCCCGATCCTGAGGAAGGGGCGGGGCCCGGGAAGCGGGCGTGCAGCTTCCCTGCGTGAGCCGGTCGGGAGCGAGCACGCGCAGGGCGAGGGGGCTGCGTCGGGGGGAAGCTGACGTGGGCTGCGGCCCCTGAGTTCCTCCGCGCGCCAGGCCGCTTCCTGTCCGCCCCGCCTGCGTCGGGTCAGCCGGGCCGCGTCGTAGAAATGTTATCCAACCTCCGAAAGGGGAGAGCCGATGGACTGAGCGGCTCGCGCACCACGTTACACTCGCTTTAAAGTTCCACTCAACGCACAAATTGAAAAGAAAAATCAGCCAACGCCCCCTTTCTCGACAGCAACCATTTTTCAAGCGGGATTGGTGATCACGGCAAGGTGCCTCCTTCCCGGCCTGGAGACCTCGCTTCGAATCGGGGATGTCTGTGCGATGCTTCTTACCCAGCTAGGCCGAAAAAGGACTCCTGTGTTGCCGGCTACTCGAGAGATCCTCGGAGGACTGAATCTGGCTCTAGGGCCGCGGGTGACCCAGGCCGGAACCAGCCCAGAGAGAGCACTTCCCCATTCGCCTGATTATTCCAGAGCCAGTTCCTGGGAGAAGGGGGGGCGGGAGAGCGTCCTCACGGTCATCTCCTCTCACCCGCACCACCCGTACTCTGAGCCCCCTTTTCCACGGTACCTCTGGCACCAAGAGTTTCTTGCAGCTCTGCCCGTCTGTGACACACCGCCACACAGGCACACACCACGACCTGAGACTGCTGCCTCTAAGTAGCAAGCAAATCAGCCTGCTTACTGAACCCGCTGCTACTGTCTTTTTTTATTTTTCTCTAGAGAGCAGTGGTGGCATCATCATAGCTCACAGCAAACTCAAACTCCTGGGCTCAAGCATCCTCCTGCCTCAGCATCCCCTACAGGCTACCACACCTGGCTAAGTAGACCACACCTGGCTAATTTTTTTTTATTATTTCTTTGTAGATATGGTATTAGTGACAAAAAAACAAGTGAGAGGTAATGGAAATCAGAAAAACAGGAAGGAGAAAGCCGTTATAGAAAAACAATAAGGAGGAAATCGTTACAGAAAAATAACCAGGGGAAGCAGTTATTTCAATCTTAAAGAATGGTCTAATCAGGCCATAGAACACTGACCACCAGGTTATGGCACTTTTCCCACCACACGTATGCTAGAAAAAATGACTGAAACATAACCTGTAACTCATGTCCATACTTGGAAAGAATTCAGTCCCCAAAACAGTGATGTATAGTTATGAATAATTATAACTAACCTTTACCTAAACTACTAACCTATAAAAGGAAAAACATCAAAGTAGACAGTGTATTCTCCACTTGCAGAGACAGACCCATTTCCCCTTTGGAAATGTACTTTTCCTTTGCACCCTTAAGCTTTATTCACAATAGATTCTCCATGCATACTTGCTGAGTATCTGTCATCTTTCTCTATCACATGGGCCAAGCCTGGAGCCCAAGAACTGTGGTAACACTTCAAAGTCCAGCTGGGTACTGAATCAGGGTCTGGTGCTTGCTCAGGCTAGTCTTGAACTCCTGACCTCAAGCAATCCTCCCACCTCAGCCTCCGAGAACGCTAGGAGTGAGCCACTGCCTTGGCCTACTGTCTTAGGCCCTCCCTGTATCCAACCTGAATCATCACTAAGCCCATTCCCTAAACATTCTCTCACTTGCTGCTCTCCACATCCCTGCCACATACACCATTCTTGACCCTGCTGTCAAAGTAGTATTTCTAAAATGGAAATCTGATCTGGTTACTTGCCAATTGAAAATGTCAATGGTTCTCTTAAGCTTTGTCTAGGAAATTCCTAATCTGGGGTCTATATGTAGAACTGAATTTCAATATAATTCTGAATTCTTCCAATAACAGGAATGAGCTTGGAAGAGGATCCCAAACATCAGATGAGAAAACAGTGCCACTTCTGAAATCAGCCATTTTTCCAAGAGTCCTTGTTAAAGGAAAGTGATGTCTAGATATCACAATCGGGGATCTGGAACTGCTCACTGCAGTAAGTTAGCCCTTACTTCTAATCTTAGTTAAGACTGTTTTTTAAGGTAAAATATAAGTTTACACTGATACTATCAGTTCAAATTCATGGTACCAGATATGGGCCATGCAAATGAGCCAGAAACATCTTGTCAACCAGAAACAAAAAAATTATCAAAAACTACTAGGGGCTGCTCAAGGTGGCTCACGCCTGTAATACTAGCTCTCTTGGAGGCCGAGGCAGGAAGGATCACTCAAGTTCAGGAGCTCGAAACCAGCCTGAGCAAGAGCGAGACCCCCATCTCTACTAAAAAAAATAAAAAGAAATTAATTGGTCAACTAGAAATATATAGAAAAAATTAGCTGGGCATGGTGGCGCATGCCTGTAGTCCCAGCTACTCGGGAGGCTGAAGCAGGAGGATCGCTTGAGCCCAGGAGTCTGAGGTTGCTGTGAGCTAGGCTGATGCCACGGCACTCTAGACCAGGCAACAGAGTGAGACTCTGTCTCAAAAAAAAAAAAACTACTAGGACTATGTCAAACAAACTCAGGAACCAATTTAAAGAAACTTTCTCGGCCGGGCGCGGTGGCTCAAGCCTGTAATCCTAGCACTCTGGGAGGCCGAGGTGGGCGGATTGCTTGAGGTCAGGAATTCGAACCAGCCTGAGCAAGAGCGAGACCCGTCTCTACTATAAATAGAAAGAAATTAATTGGCCAACTAATATATATGAAAAATTAGCCGGCATGGTGGCACATGCCTGTAGTCCCAGCTACTCGGGAGGCTGAGGCAGAAGGATTGCTTGAGCCCAGGTGATTGAGGTTGCTGTGAGCTAGGCTGATTGCTTGAGCCCAGGTGATTGAGGTTGCTGTGAGCTAGGCTGACACCACGGCACTCACTCTAGCCTAGGCAACAAAGTGAGACTCTGTCTCAAAAAAAAAGAAACTTTCTCATGTCAAAGATAGGGCAATTAGAACACTAAAGGGATAATAACTACAGGATATTAAAACATATCAAATAAGTTTCAATCTAGGTGTACATAATGATAATTTAAAAAGAAGAGGCCGGGCGCTGTGGCTCACGCCTGTAATCCTAGCTCTTGGGAGGCCGAGGCGGGCGGATTGCTCAAGGTCAGGAGTTCAAAACCAGCCTGAGCAAGAGCGAGACCCCGTCTCTACTATAAATAGAAAGAAATTAATTGGCCAACTGATATATATAAAAAAAATTAGCTGGGCATGGTGGCGCATGCCTGTAGTCCCAGCTACCCGGGAGGCTGAGGCAGAAGGATCACTCGAGCCCAGGAGTTTGAGGTTGCTGTGAGCTAGGACGCCACGGCACTCACTCTAGCCTGGGCAACAAAGCGAGACTCTGTCTCAAAAAAAAATAAATAAATAAAAAAATAAAAAAATAAAAGAAGAATTTTTGTCACTGAAGAATGTTAATAACACAACTATTTCAAAAATTGGCAAATAAAGGAGCAAATAAGCATTTACTCTGCTTTCCTTGGACTGTTACATCATGTAAGCAAAAGTTGATGAAGAAAATCTCTCTTATAGAAGTACAGCTAATCACTTGGACACTAAAATGTTGATTAAAAATAAAATAATAAAGAAAAAAAGAAGTACAGCTAATAAATAAGAAGAAATGATAGAATTATAACATCACCGTGTACACCCTTTACTGAAATAATGGATAAAGACAATGATCCTCAACATCTATTAACATCATGGAAATAAAGATCATCATTACTTTTTTGTCTCCTGATGAAGTAGTCAGCAAAAACAAAACAAAAAAATCAAACTTGATTCTAATCAAGTCGTTAGGACTAATTATAACATCAGTTTACAGTTAATGCAGAGGAAAGAGGGAGCGGTGAATTTGCATTGACAAATGCAATCAGTCAAATCCAAACTGTGGAAAGCCTATACTATGAATGACCTGATTCTTCAATAATTCAAAGACGGGGAGCCCAGGCGTGGTGGCTCATGCCTGTAATCCTAGCACTCTGGGAGGCCAAAGCAGGCGGATTGCTAGAGGTCAGGAGTTCAAAACCAGCCTGAGCAAGAGCGAGACCCCATCTCTACTATAAATACAAAGAAATTAATTGGTCAACAATATATGAAGAAAATTAGCCGGCACGGTGCGACATTAGACACTCGAGGAGAGGACAACAAAAGACACCAGGAGTTTGAGGTTGCTGTGAGCTAGGCTGACGCCCGGCACTCACTCTAGCCTAGGCAACAAGTGGACTCTGTCTCAAAAAAAAAAAAAAAAAAAACAAGACAGAGGGGAAATGAGAAAAACTAAGAATAAAATAAAACTAAGAGAAAATCAAGCAATTGAAATGTATAGAAACATATTGATATGAATTCAAACAAAAAAAACTTTTAAAAATGTATGAGGCCATATGTGAATTTGAAAAGTTCCTGAATTCTTGATATTGAAAACTTACTTTTGTGTGATAATAGCAGTGTTATATATGTTAAAGGAGTTATTTGAGAATACATACTGATTTACCAGTGAGATGGCAATGCCATAAACTCAGGAAACAACTGTGCTCTGGAATTAAAAACATAATAGCAGGAATGGAAGAGAAGGTGAAGATATTACCCAGAATGTAGAGCAGAAGCCCAAGAGATGGGAAATAAAGGAGAATTTTTTTAAAAGAAGGAAAAGAACAGTCCAGGAAACCAACATCCAAATAATAGGAGTTCCAGGAAGAAAACATTGAAAACTCACAGAAGGAAATAACCATGAAAATTAGTCAATAAAATTTTCTAGAACTAAAATGCCTGAGTCCTTCCTGAATATTCAGCTCAGCAGATAAAATCAAGCACACAAAGCATAGCACTGTGAAATTTCAGATCACTGTTCCCCAGCAGTCTCGAATTGTTTGGAAATCCTACAAGCTTCCAAGGAAATGAGAAGTTCATGAACATGGAAATAAAAACGAATTCAAAGATACCAAGAAAACATGAAAGAAGATAAATGGAACAATATCTTCAGAGCTCTGAAAGAAAAGTACTTCAACTTAGAATTTAGAATTATTAAACACCCTTTCTCAAGGATATATTGGAGGACATACTCCATGAAATGAAAGTGAAAGACATGGCGTCCGGAAAGTAAGGATTTCCACCCAGGAGACAGCCAAAGGATGACTCCTGCAAGCTGGGTCTGTGGGCAACCGTGAGAAGGCTCTTAGTGGAGGTTAGAAGCCCTCAGAAAACCTTCTTTTAGAAAGAGATGAATTGGATAGAGTGTCTGCTGGCAGTAACCATATTGAAAATGGTTTGGACAACAGGGAAAAGGTTGGATAAAATTGATACCACTTAAGAAACTAAGTCATCAAAAAGGACACATTTATCCTATCTTTTCTATGCAAACTGCCTTTCAGGTAATCAACCATTGATGAGGGAGGAGTTTGTACTGACAGAACAATGTTAGCGAATGCAGAGGAATATTGGCATTTTTAACAGCATTTAAGCACCTGTGAGGTGACAGATACAGGCCATGGTCATCAGTGGGTGCTAAAACATAGTAGGTAAAAGGTAGGAAGGGAACTTGTCAT